TATGGAATTAACTAAGTGAATAAATAAAAATCATTATAAATTGATTACTTAAACAGTTTTGATCTCATATTTGATGCTAATGTATTTTCATCTGTTGCCGGATTCCATTATTGAGCATCCATACCATTTACGATATCAGTAATGCCAGTTTTACGGGTGTAGTTATCAAATCCCAGAAACCCTTTTCAACTCCAGAAACGAGTTCCTAGGTGTGGGAAGGAAGGGCTCATCGTTAAAAACCCGTCTGCTTCCAATATACTAGCCTCTATTCAATTGAGAAGATCGAATACAAACTATATAGTAGTAGTAATTACTACCGTTGAACAATAAAAGTGGAATATGTTACTGCCCGAAATCTGAAAATAAGCATTTAGCGTGCAATATGTCAAAGTATAGAAAGATCAATATTAAAATTGAAAATACAAGGACTAATTCTCAAATTACTTTACATTTACGAAACGTTTTAAGTTTGCCCAAGTTTTTTTATTGATGCTACTCAAGGATATTCAATTTTTTTAGCTTGGGATCCATCATTTAAGGAGTTTTCTTAGCTATTGAAACATGATTGGAAGGTTCGAATTCAGAACATTTATAGAGAAGAGAGTAAGTTAATCGGATTGATTAGCTAATCAACGTATTCTCTCCACTGTATGAGTTCCATTTCTTGATTCTGCTACTCATCAGGTCATATTCCCATGGACACTGTGCATTAACTGATGTCAAACTATCCAATCAATCTCCATGATAATTTAAATCAACAATGGCATTTTCTAATTTATTTTGACGAAAAGAATTTAATCAAGAGACGACAATATATATCGTCGTAGAGCTCATGTTGTTTAGAGAAAATCGCTTTTCTTATTTTGCCTGTTCGTGTGTCCATTCCAAAGCGTCGAGCATATGATGTTGTATTTAGATTGGGCCTGCATGGGTCAAAGTGCTCTACAATTCTTGTTTAGTAATACCAAGGCAGGCTGAGGAGACCCCTATTCGATCCAATAACAAGAAGCCTTGTTTGATGGTTTCCAACACAGCATTTCGTGGGTCTTTTAAAGCATTCGTTGGAGATGGACATAATGGGTCAACAGTCCACTTACCTTATAGTTTTAGTGGCTGCGTGATCCTTCATTCCGTGCGTCGCGAATTAACATTCTCCTGCGGTTCTCCCTGCTCATCCTTCTGTTAGACCGTTTACAACCCATGCAATATCAACAGCCGAAGCCCCTATTCTGCTAGTTGAAACTCAAATTGACTCAGGTACTGCTTCATGAACATAAGTAATTAAGAGAGTAAGTGAATGCAAGCAAAATTTGGATTTGGAAGCTAACGTCTTCTTGTACAGGAGAGAGAAATATAGTAATCGTGTCTTCTGATGAGAAATTTTATACGTTAGTTATTTCATGGACTAACTTTTGAAAAAAAAATAATAAATAAATAAATAATTACATCCGAATCCATAAAAAAAATATATATATTAATTTAATTTTTTTAAAAAAAGTTTTTTATCATATATATATATTTTTATTTGTATCTATCTTTTTCTATACAATAACTTACGTTATCTATTATTTGAGAATTATAAAATTTTTAGTCTTCAGTAACTCTTTGTCAAATGTGTGCGGTTAGGTAAATTTAGACTTGTCAATTACCAGTACATTCAAATGTCTATAAATTAATGCCACTAAACACAAATACCATATAATAAAGAGAATTACTTCTTTTTTTATTCCAGAAAGACAATTAGTCCTACTTGAAAAGTCATTGCTATGACATGCATTTATCATTATTTATTTATTTATTTGACGGAAATAAGATCATCGATCCAGATTCTACTTATCATGGTATTTCTCTCAGTTACGCAATTCTAAATAATAACAGTAATAATAAAAAAATCATTAGAATTCAATTTTAATGTAGCGTCGGAAGAATGGCTGTGCGTTGATCTGGCTCCATGGGAGCAAAGCTTAGCTAATAAGTTGGTTTTGGTTGGTGGAGACTGAAGAATATCAATGGAAGAATTTTTAGAACAAAACCTAGAAGGGTAAGTAAGTGTCAAACAAAAGAATGGACCAACAGACCACGGTTCCGTCCCAAAGACTGCGTATTATATTTTGATTTAATGATATTTTATGCTCCTGGACTATATATTAGAGTAGTGATAAAATGAAACTGCATTATTAATTTGATAAATTTTATTTTTGAACTGTTTTACTTTAGATAAGCAATATCCATCCTTTTAATACGATTTTTAATATTTATAAAAAAATCCCTTAAAAAATTATATTTTATTATTTTCGATTGATTTTTTCTATAGACACTAATAAAAATTCGATCCATCTTTATAAATAATTTTTTTTTTTGAAGCCAAAAAATATTTTTTAAATAATAAAAAATTAAAAAAGCAAGAATCATCTTTTTTTTAATTATATTTTTATTTTTACTCTTGAGGAGATCATAAGAATGTAATTTTAGTGTTGTTTACATATAATTTCCAAAATTAATATATTTTAAGTTTGATTAGATGTTACTTGTTCAAGTATGCAAATATTTAGAAAATTATATGAAGACTTAGCGGATCAATTTAGTTAATATTTATTATTTAAGAAAAAAAATACTTATTGTTCTAAAAAAATTATTTATAAAAATAAATTGAATTGTTATTAACATACGTTAAAATTTTCAATTCTAAATATAAAAAATTAATTTTTTAAAGAGAATTTTTGGTCTATAATAATGATAAAATCAAACGATACAATCGTTTATAATAACAACCAAATAAACTAAAGAATTGATATTTATTTAAAATATGATAATACAAGGAGAAAATTAATGGAAAAGATTATATAAACCTGAATGCGCCACAACGTTAACACTTCACCCAAAAAAAATTTCCATTAAACCATTACGTTTCATATTCGCATGCTTGACGTCAGTTCTAAAGCTCGTCTTCGTTAATTACAACTCTGCAGCTTTTTCTGGCTAGAATGATTTGCGGTCGCGCTTATCTCACTAATTCAGAAAATCCAAGATGTCATTAACGCACTTTGAAATAAACAAACACCGATAAGATATTTGGTACATCTAATAATAGAATATTGCGTTTACAATATTTGGCAAATTAGTACTTTCTCATTCCCTCAAGTTACCGGCCCTCAGGAGTCCTATCCTTCCTGCTATTTTTTAATATTATATAAGCATGTCTTGTCTTCACTCAACTTAGTGGATCAATTTTGTTAATATTTAATATTTAATAAAAAATAAAAAATACTTATTGGCCCAAAAAATTTATTTATAAGAGTAAATTGAATTTTTACTAACATAAGTGAAAATCTTCAATTCCAAATATAAAGAAAAATAATTTTTAAGGAGAATTTTTTATCTATAATAATGATAAAATCAAACGACAAAATGATTTATGATAACAGCCAAATAAAATGAATGGATAATATTTATTTAAAATATGATAATACAAAGGGAAAATTAATCGAAAAGATTATATAAATCAGAATGTGCCACAACCTTAACACTTCACCGCAAAAAGGAAAAAGAAAAAATCCCATTAAACCATTGTATTTCATATTCGTATGCTTGATTTCAATTCTAAAGCTTGTCTTCGTTAATTACAACTCTGCAGCTTTTTCTAGCTAGAATGATCTGCGGTCACGCTTATCCAACTAATTCAGAAAATCAAAGATGTCATTAACGCATTTTGAAATAAACAAACACCTATAAGAAGATATTTGGTACGTCTAATAGAATATTGTATTTACAAACACATATTCGGCAAATTGGTACTCTCTCGATAGTAATGGCAATTTGCCCCCATTCCAACGGAGTTTGGCCCTCCACGCTCTGACTGACATGAGAATGTCTCGAGTTGATTAGAGAATGGACGAGACACTATATCCCTCAATAAATTTGAACGACGATGGGACGAGTACGGTATTTGCTCGTTCCATCCCGCTCCAATTCGTTATTTGAAAATTATAATTATATTTAATATATATAAATTCTGATATTATAAAATAGTGATCGATATAATAGTGAGTTTTGATAATCTCTTAATAATAAAGATATGTAAAAATTTATATTTTTTAATTATATTTATGATATTTCATCAATTTATTAATATATTATTTATTTAATTAAAAATAATTTAATATATTATGAATTGTGTTGTAAACTTATAATTGAATAAATATTAAATTATTATTTTTAATTATATTTTTTATATATATTATTATCCATTTGCTCAGGGTAACGGGGCAAAATTTTTCAGAGCCTATATCCCCACATCCGTCCTGTACCATTGCCATTCCTATCTTTCATTCCTTCAACTTACCGGCTCTCATATCCTTCCTGCTATTTTTTAATATTATATAAGCATATTTTGTCTCCCACGTGAATCCCCAGTTCAATCATATGATGCCAAGAATAATTTTGTCAATGTCATTGTCTAGAGACTTGGAAATATGGTAAAACTTAAGAAAAAAACTGGGTTGAGAGGCCTACAAGAAAGATTAGTTGATTTGTTTTTGTTAATGGATTAGTTAATTTCATATTGCAGAAAGTCCTAATCCAGATTACCAAATTGGCCACTAATCCTACCTAAATTGTCAGGAATACGATCAATCAAAATAGGGGGAAGCTTTTTTCTGGTTATTATCAATTCTTCGTTTGCAGTCTAATGTACAACATTCTTGATTAAATGCCTATCACTAGAGCTTGAAAGACATTCATTTGATTGAAATTGTTGAACAAATTATTTAAATCGATTAAAATAATGTATGCGTGTAAAGTATTACTCCATTTTAGGTTTTACAACAAACAAATATATACAGCGGGTCTTCTGATAATTAACAGAGTGTAGCGGATGGAAAAGTTATTACAAGAGAACTATATATTCATAGGTAGCTGCGAAGCGCATCAATTCTGGGAGGAAACAAGAAAGCATTGGAAACATTAAGAAAAATTAATAAAACTTGAATTTATGTGGTGTCCTAATTTTTCCACTTGGACACTAGTTCATGGAGTGATTTGGTGGAGGAGCCATCATCACTCACTGCCTTGGCCGCAGCTTCCTTCAGCCTTTTCATTCGATTGCGCATTGCCAGCCCTTCTCCCCCTTGCATTAAACACTTCACAACTCTGGCAATCTCCTCTCGTCCTACTAGTCCATTTTCATCCACATCTGGTCGCAATGCCACCTTAAGGCCCTCGTTTAACAATACTGCATTTGTTTTTTGCTCGGCATAGAGAGGCCAAGCGATTAAAGGCACCTCATGCACAAGGCTCTCTAGTGTTGAATTCCAACCACAATGGGTTAGGAATCCACCCGTCGAGACATGACCAAGCACTTGAATTTGCGGTGCCCAAGATGGCACAAGCAGACCTTGTCCTTCGGTTCGATCCAGGAAGCCATTTGGCAGGAAAGTAAAAGGGTTTGCATTACTTCCGGCACTAAAGTAGGAGGCAGTAGTAGATTTATCTGGGCTTCTGACGACCCATAAAAATTTTTGCTCACTCATTTCCAAGCCCATGGCCAATTCATTTAGCTGCTCAAAAGACAGAGTTCCACCACTCCCAAAAGAAACGTACAAAACCGAACGGTTTGGTTGATCATCCAACCATCTGAGGCACTGCGGTCCATTAGCCCCACTAATTGTACCGGCTTGAATGATGGGACCAACCGGGTAGATAGGTGGTAATTTACCAAGTTCTTGATCTTGCAAAGCCTTTATAGTACCTGGCTCCAATTCCACGAAACTATTCAACAAGATGCCCTCAGCTAAACTATGTCGATTTGAATGGTGAAGGAACCATTTGTATGCATCATCCTTCCTGTCCTGAATCGGGTCAGGTAAATCCCTCCCGTGTACTGAAATTCCCCAGCCTGGTAGTTGTACAGGTTCAGGCAAATCCTTATACTCGCAGGAAACCATTTGATCCAACTTTGGCAAATAAAAATGCAAGGATAAAGTCATAGCCGTAGACAGGCAAGCAATATAAGATGGCACACTAAATTCCATGGCAACATCAATGACATCCGTGCCAAAAAGGTCGAGAACCAAAGCCACTAGTCTAGTACTGGCAACTAATGACTTCAGCACATCACGGATTGAGGAAAGCGAGCGAGTTACTGTGAGAGATATCTGGGTTTCAGCCCTAATTCCTGGCAAGTCATCAAAACTAACTGGAGGCAGAAATATATAGTTCATGCCTTCGGGAAGGGAGCCAAGAACTTTCTTCTGGGCATCTGGTGCTGGACCTATAGAGGGAACAATAAAGGTAACCAATAGGTCGTAGTTGAAAACAAGTTTCTTGGCCAACTCAACAAGTGGGATAAGGTGACCCATGCCTGGACTGGGCAAAATAGCTACATGGGGTTTCTGTGCCATGGTTGGAATTAAGCTTTGAATCGGAAAGAGCAAGCAATAGTAAGTAGGAGGGATGCGGCTGCTTCTACTCTGTTCAGGTTTTTTTTTACATGCAGTTGTATGGGATCCCGTTTTGTTGTTTCCATTGGGAGGACTTTTCAATGCTGGCATTTGTGGGAATGGCGCTTTGAAAATAAAGGACGTCATATGACCTAAGTTTTACGTAAATTTTCCCAGAAGTGTCTCCGTCTTTGAAATTTCCTCTCTTTTTATTCTTTTTTTTTTCAATAATTTCCTCTCCTCCTCTCTCACCATTCTAATATATATATATATAACTAATTCAATTAATTTGAATAGAAAAAATTAACAAAAATTAAGATTCATTCAGTTAATTTAGACAAAAAAAATTAATAGAATGTTGAATTAAAAACTTAATCATTTTTTTAAAAAATTAACTTCATAAAATATATGAAAAACACATTAAAAACTTATCTCATTATATAAGGATATGTCAAACTATTTCTCCTGCATTTTTACATACTAAATATGGAGTGGTAAAAAAAGAGAAGAAAATGGAGAAATTTCTTTTGCAAATAATTAGAAAAGTATAAGATATATTGGTGCAAAACCAAATTCAAATGACTTGTGCTTAATAAATTAAACACTTTCCTGTTTTTTTTTTTTTTTTTTTTTTTTTTTTTTTTAACTATCAATCAATATATATATATATATATGATCTTAAGTTTTTTTTTTTTTTTGAGTTACCAACGTTTTTCTGGATTTTGCTGCTGCTATGTACCACTATATTAAATCTCAAGCTTCTTCTAAAGATTTATCTTGATTTTGGTACTCCCAGGTAAAATATGTGAGTAGTTTTTTTAATCGATAATATCAATATTAATAACAAATTAGTATTTGATTAAAAAATAAATAAATTATAAAAATATTATTATTATTGAACACAAACTCTTATAATAAGGATAAATATTCTACTAAGTAGATTCCAATTACTTATCTGGAATCTACTCAATAAAAACTATATACATATATATATATATACACACACACTCTATTTATGAATGGCAGGTACACTCTTTTTCACCCTCTTTTTATTTATTTTTATTTTTTATAAACTTTTTATTTAGTACACAAATTTAGGTGAATTTTTTTATAATTTTTTTTTCTAGAATTCCTATACATTCATCGTTCTTTTTTAATTACAAGAAGTACTAATTTATTGGTCTGTTGAATTAAATTTATATTTTTTAATAAATAAAAATTATTCTTTTTAATAAACCACGACGATGCATGAATAATTATTCATGAATACTATTGATCTGTCTAACCCAACAATTGGAGGATTGAAATTTTCAACGCTCGCTAAATTAATGCATCTATTCGATTGGAAGTTGGGTATCAGATCTCATGTCAGTGGGCCGGATATTTATAGCTTATCGAACCAATTACATATTCTATTTATTAAAAAAAATTATATATATTATATGGCAAATTAATTAAAAAACTAAAAAAAATCATCGGTTACTCGTAGCGTTACTATTTGAAGTACTTGTTTACTCTCTCATTATTTACTATTCATCCTCTCACATTTTACTGTGCGTTTCATTATTTATGGTTTGTTTCTTACACTTTGGTCCCCGATATTTTCGAAATCATATTTCGTTCCACATGTTCATTTGCTCATCTATTTTGGTCATTGGATGAAGAGAGAAGGTTGAGAGGAAGAGAGAGACGGGAGGAGAGAGATATCGTCGGTCAACCTTTTTAGGCCACTTTGGCAAGTGAAAATTCACTAGATTTATTTATCTTTAAAAAATAAGTTTGTCCATAGTGATTTCAAGCCATTAAACAATTAGAGGAGGTAGATCGAAGCTCAAAAAAGAAAAAAAAATCCGATTTGATTTGTATTTTTCTTTATTTTTGTGTGTATGAAAATGATTTTTAACGTTTTTGTGTTTATTGGCTTTATTTCGGTCATTTAGAGGTGTTAGAGGAAAAAAATGATGCCGGAATTCAATTTCTAGGAGTCCGAAAGTTGACCTTCGATTTTTCGACGACCTCGGGTTCGTCGAAAGTTGCGGGTTTGTTTCTTTTTTTTTTTTTTTTTCCACTGTGCAAGCTTGGTGAGCGAGTCTCCAATGGCAAGCCCAAGCGCAATGGCTCGCTCGTATAGGCCAACCATGCCGGCCTCCCTCATTTTTTTTAAAAAAAAATTTTGTCTTCGTGACTCGGTTGCATAAGCCAACCAGTGTCTCTCTCTCTCTCTCTCTCTCTCTCTCTCTCTCTCTCTCTCTCTCTATATATATATATATATATATATATATATATATAGAGAGAGAGAGAGAGAGAGAGAGAGAGAGAGAGAGTATATCTAATTATATTAATTTCATTATGATTTAGCCCATTTGTTTTAATTTTTTTATTATTTTTAATCTATGACTTTAATTTGTCATTTTTTTTCAAATTCTCGTCCAATTAATTTAAAATTACATTTAATGATAGTTTTCATTTATTTTAATATTATTCATTCTTTTCTCATCCAATTAATTTAAAATTATATGGTCCTCAATTTTTTTTTTAATTTTAAACTTTAATTGTATTGTAATTTGATCCCATTTTGTTTTAGTGTTTTTTATTGATTGTTTTTATTATTTAAAATTTACTACTTTAATTTTTCATTTTAAAAAAATTCTCATCCATTTAATTTCAAATTACATTAAAAAATTTAAAATATTTTTTTCACTTTTGATTTCATATATTTTTATACTTTCACATCATAAAACAGACTATTAAATTAAAATGGCTTTTTAAATAATTTTATATATTTTATCATACTCGCAGCGTAGCCTAGGCAAAAAATCTAGTAACCTGCTAAAATTTATTTATCCACATCCATTTTATGTCCACACGGAACATACCCAATCAGAAATTTTATAATAATCAAAAAGTAATTATTGTACATGTATAGTAATTATTTTATAGACCTATTTTAAAAAGAGAAATGGATACATAAAAAAAAAAATCACATCCAAGTCCATAAAAAATGATAAATTTTTTTTCTCAACCTTCAAATCATATCCATTTACCTGTTATATTTTTTTAAAAAAATGGTGAAAGGTGGTTATTATTTTAATTTTTACGTTTTAAGAAAGTAATGAGGCTCGTGGAATGTGAAATTACACCACAAAAAGTCTAATATAAAGTTTGAACATTTAAACTCTACTTTTGAGGGGCTTTTGATTTTGGATAATTAAAGGGATTCATTTAATTTATTAATTTGAATCACGTTGATTGAAGGCACTATAAAACTTTAATTAGCTCAACCAATTCCATAAACATAAATAATACTCATAAAGTCTCACTATTGCTAATACAAACAAACTTCATTTCATTTATCATTAAATTTAAGAGATTAGTTGAGAAAAATACATGTTGTGTGGATTTGTACAAGAAATTAAACAATCCCTCCATACACTCCATTATCATTATTTGGCGTTATAGGTGTCTTGTTGTCGTTTCACGCTTATAATGACAAATACACATTAATGTTATATAACGATGTTATTTGCCATTATATAACAACATTATATATATAAACCTTTCAGCTATTGCTACTACCATTATCCACAATTTTTGCAAAATCTCGGATGTATAAAATACAAGAATCTTTTTTAGGGAACAAGAAGAGATAAAGAGGGAGGCATTTTTAGGGAAAAGAGACGACTACGCAAGTATTTGTTTTTAGGGAATAAGAAGAAGAGAGAGAGAGAGAGAGAGAGAGAGATATTTTTGGGGAAGAAGAAATCGGGGTAAAGATTTGTTTTTAACGAAGAACAAGAGAGGGAGAGGTGTTTTTGTAGAAAAAAGACGAGAAGGATTTGGTTTTAGGGAAGAAAAAGAGACAGGAAGGGAGGCGGCAGAAATAAATTTTAGGTTTAGAAAAAACATAAAAGACTTTTCTTTAAACCTAAAAGACTAATTGGCCTCGTGTCCATTTTAAAAAAACAACTTATACCATTCTTATTAGGCCTACTCTTTTTTATTGAAGCAATAATTGGGTTTAGTTTCGTAATTATATTCTTTACCTTTTTTTTACTTTGTATAATTTGAAAATTTTAATCATGTTTTTACTTTTTTTTAATTGCACAAAAAAATGATATTATAAGTCAATTTTCCTCCAATAGAACAACCAATAACCAAAGTATAATTTTATTAAAAAAATTTTTGAATAATAATTTAAAAATTAGGTCAAGTTAAAATTTAATTTTCAACAATGCAATTACTATTGAATTATAATGGTGTGTATATATATATATAACTAAAAAAATGCTATAATTATGTTTATTTAATAAAAATATTAAATTGACATATATAATGAAAATTTATTACATTTGTTAAATGATTCACAACAATGATTGTTGCGATCGTTATATTTTAATGGTTAAATTCCGCATCCGTTATCAAAATCTGCAACCATCATTGTAATTACGATCGTTATTTAAAACTATGATATTTTGTCGCTAATATCCGAAGCTAATTTCACCGTCACTATTATGTCGTAATTTTTGTTGCTAAATGTAAAAAAATTCTAACACTAATCTGTCGGTAAGTTTATTATTATTTTTTTAAAATTGATAATTTTTTGTTAGTTTCAAAATTTGTGATATTCTTGGTAGTAACTAACAATTAGAATAAACAACGTATTACAAAAATTTATTTTTTATTAAAATTTTAAATATTATGAATTAAATTAAATAAATATTAACAAAAAAAAAATATTCATTGGTACGTAAGAAAAAAGAAGAAAAAACAAATAATAAAAATGAAATGTCGGTTCGATCATCATCCCGATCATCTAATCCCCTATCTTCCTCTTGCGGTTCGGTGAGAGGGATGATGGAGTCCTAGTTGGTGGGCGGATCGCGAGCAACTCGGACATCTACGTCGACCTATGCAACATTGAGACACGAGACAAGTGACTCATATTGAGACTTCAACCCCCGTATGGTGTCCTACCGCTGTGTGATAATGTTATATAGCTCTTCTTGCTTGGATCGCATCCCCTTCATCGCCTCCTTGTACTAACTTAGAACATCCTCGGCAATCTCCTCGGTATACCACGACAACATAGAGAACAAGTCGGCGCCACCCGA